CCCTTCTGTGGTGGACCTCTCCCGTTAACCTCTGCACCAGGATTCCCTTCCGACTAGATCCCCCTTCCATTACCATCACCACAGATACATCCCTCACAGGATAGGGAGCACACATCGGCCACCTCACCACTCAGGGCCTCTGGGGTGCTTCGGAAACCAAGCTTCATATAAATTTGCTAGAGCTCTGGGCCGTACGCAATGCCTGCCTCCATTTCCTTCCCATCATCCAAAACCTTCAAATTATGATCGACAACATCACATGTTTTATGTCAACAGACGGGGGAGCCCGATCACACTCCCTCTGCACAGAGGAAGTAAAACTTTGGAACTGGTGTCTTCAACACAAGATCCATATCTCCGCCTCATACCTGCCAGGTTCTCAGAATAACACCGCAGACTAGCTCAGCTGATCGTTCTCCATACAGCACAAGTGGAAACTCAACGACACCATTCTTTCCAACATTTTCCAGACCTGGGGTTATCCCCAGCTGGATCTATTTGCAACAGCAACAAACAAAAAATGCCCAATATTCTGCCCCAGAGCAGGCCGGGGGAAACACTCTCACTGGGAGATGCCTTTATGTTCCCATGGTCCGAAACTCTCATGTATGTGTTCCCACCAATGCCTCTATTGCACAGAGCAATTCAGAAGATACGAACAGACAGAGCCAACATCATTCTCATAGCCCCAGCATGGCCCAGACAACCGTGGTACCCCTTTCTCGTGCGCATGTCGGTCAAGCTACCCATTCCCCTTCCCCCACTCGGCAACCTCCTATTTCACCCTGACGTACAATGTCTCCACCTGAGGGCATGGCTGATCAATGGTTCTCTAATGCAGAGTTAACATTTTCGGACCAAGTGTGCACTGTCTTGCTACACAGCAGAACACACAAAACGCGCACGACCTACCTGCATAGATGGAAACGGTTCACATCTTGGTGTGCTGACAAACAGACCTCTCCAGTTTCTGCTTTACTCCCACTGATACTGGATTTCCTGTTACACCTTAAAACACCTGTCCCCTCTACGAGCCCACTCAAGGTCCATCTTGCAGCAATCACTGCCTTCCATCATAAGATTAGCAACGTTATGGTCTTTGCCCATCCAATCACCAAAAGGTTCCTGAACGGTATCCAGACGTTATACCCAGATGTGAAACCGCCTGTTGTACCTTGGGATTTACACCTAGTCCTGAAAGCCCTGATGGATAAACCCTTTGAACCAATGGTTACCTCCTCCTTTCTCCACCTCTCCATGAAGACCACCTTCCTCATAGCAATCACGTCTGCCAGATGAGTAGGAGAAATGGGGGCACTTATGGCAGACCCTCCGTATATCACATTCTTTCGCGATAAGGTCACACTCCACACGAATCCAAAGTTATTACCTAAGTTACACTCTTCCTTTCACCTCAGTGAACCTATACACCTCCCAACATTTCCCCCAAACCTCACGCTAACGCCTTTGAAACAACAATGCACACTCTTCATGTTCGCAGAGCATTATCCTTTTGCCTGGATAGAACAAAACCGTTTAGAAAACCCCCCAGACTTTTTCTCTCTTCTACTCAGCGTTCACAGGGAAATGCTATCTCTACACAGAGACTTTCCAAAAGGATTGCTGACTACATACGCCCTTGTTACCAACTCAGGCAAATACAACCTCCTACATCAATTAGATCACTCTACCAGCGCTGTCTCCACCTCCACGGCCTTTCTCTGTAATGTCCCACTGTCTGACATATGCAAGTCAGCTACCTGGGCATCAAACCTTACCTTCGCTAATCGCTACGCTCTCATCCACACTGCAGCGTCCGACACCAGCTTGGGTAGAGCTGTCTTGTTGTCAGCCTTCTTGCCTCATCCGAAATTCCAGCCATCCTAAGGGATACTGCTTTTCAGCCACTTGAAGTGGAGCACCCACAGGGACATCTCTCTCTCGAAGAGGAGGTTACTTACCCTGAGCAGTAACTGACGTTCTTCGTGATGCATGTCCCTATGGGTGCTCCACTACCTGCCCTCCTCCCCTCTACTTCGGAATTCATAATGTACTCCGTTGTAGAGAAGGAACTGAGGAACGGACTAAGGTCAGGCTTGACAAAGCCCTGGCTGGGATGATTTAAATGGGGATGGGTCCTGCTTTTGAGCAGGGGGTTGGACTAGATGACCTCCTGAGGTCCCTTCCAACCCTGCTAGTCTATGATTCTATGGGGAGCCCAGGCTGTGCACATGCTATTCCAACGCTGACAGCTCGAGAGGCAGGCACAGCGCATGTGCAGCCCGTAGGGGTACTGCTGGAGAAGTCTCCGATCGAAGGCGCTGGGACGCACCTTGACCTGACGTGGAGCACCCACAGGGACACTCATCTCGAAGAACGTCAGTTACTGCGCAGGGTGAGTAACCTCCTCTTGTTGAAGTACTAAACCAACTTTGGACAGCAGTAGCCTCTTCTGAAGGTGAAGAGAAAATACTTTCTTCATTCAGTTTATTCAGCTAGTTCAGTTCAATGACTAGTTGATTAAAAATTAAGAAACCAATTCGGAGTTGAAAAAGCAGGAAAGCATGTTTTCCTCTTCCAATCTATGAATAAAACTAGGTGGAAGAGAATGAGATCATCTAGTTCTAACATCTTGAAGGACATGGTGACCAGAAACAATCAGTTCATACAAAGGTAATTTTATTTTGTTAAAAAAATTAAAATGATGTTTTTTGTGCATTTTTCCATTGAATTTGAATTGCATTCAAACTGAGCTTGACACAAATCACAGGTAAAAGGTTAATCATTTAATAAATAGAAAATGGTAAATGATGTATTTCCTAACATAATTAAAAAAATGTAGAGATTAAAAATGTAAATAAATGTAAGTTAAGCTTTGTAACTGTGTATAGATATATTGTATCCTCTTGGCTAGCAAAAAGAAGCACCAAAATTAATGTTAGTTGAAAATAACATTTTTTAATGGTTACCAACTAATGAGAATCACCCTTTCCTTAGGAAAATAGATAAAAAGTACAAATACAAAACATTATTAAAATCAAAGATTTAAATCATGGTTACCTGCTTACTGGTCCAAAGAAATCGAAGCCTTGTCCATCGTCACATTTTCACATGGTTCATATGTGGATATGTTTGTCCCCATAGAAAGGTTTGGGTGTGTTGCTGTAACAAATCTGTAATCTTACGAGAAACCTTGAAACCACCGATTTAGCAGCTCTTTTAGCTCCAGCAAATTCTGTTTATATTTCTTTGAATCTGTTTGTTTTGTGCTTTTTTTTTAACAATTTTACTGAACAACCCATAGTAAGACTCAACATAACCCATAGGGTTGCCAACTTTCTACTTGCACAAAACCGAACACCCTTGCCCCGCACCCTGCCAATCCCCTCCAATGAGGTCCCGCCCTCACTCACTCCATCCCCCCTCCCTCACTCGCTCATTTTCACTGGGCTGGCTCAGGGGGTTGGGGTGTGGGAGGGGCTCTGGGCTGAGGCAGGGAGTATGGGCTCTGGGGTGCAGGTTCCAGGGTGGGGCCAGAAACGAGAGGTTCAGGGTGCAGGAGGGGGCTGCGGGCTGAGACAGAACATTGTGGTGTGGGGGGATGAGGGCTCTGGTGTGGGGCTGGGGGTGACGGATTTGGGGTCTGGGAGGGGGCTCCAGGCTGAGTGGATCAGAGTGCAGGAGGGGGATCAGGGCACTGGGGCAAGGGGATGGGGTGTGGGCTCAGGGGTGGGGCTGGAGATGAGGGGTTTGGGGTGTAGGAGCGTGCTCCGGGCTGGGACCAAAGGGTTTGGAGGGCAGGAGGGGGATCATGGCTGGGGTAGGGGGTTGAGGCATGGCAGGGATTGCAGGCTATGTGAGGCACTTACCTCAGGCAGCTCCCGGAAGCATCATCATGTCTCCCCTCCGGCTATTACGTGGAGGTGCGGCCAGTTGGCTCTGCGTGCTGCCCCATCGGCAGACGCTGCTCCTGCAGCTCTCATTGGCCGCAGTTCCTGGCCAATGGGAACTGTGGAACCGGTGCTTGGGGCATGTGGAGCCCCCGTGCATGCCCCTACGCCTAGGGGCCGGAGGGGGGGACATGCTGCTGCTTCTGGGAGCTGTTCAGAGCCGTGGCAGGCAGGGAGCCTGCCTTAACCCTGTTGCGCCACCGACCGGGCTTTTAAAGGCCCAGTCAGCGGTGCTGACCAGAGTCACCAGGGTCCCTTTTCAAAAACCAGAAACCTGGCAATCCTACATAACCAGCCTTCAAGACTCCTCCTGGTCCCTGGAGTTCTTAAGAACGACACTACGCAACTGGTATTGAGCTGGCCAGCCTTGGATTTGACTGTTATATATGAAGGAGAGCTTCTTAGTACTCTATGGGTGAAGAAGGCTGACTTTCATGTGGCAAATGGAATGTTCACTTAATTGACACGTTGGCTGAGTTCCTGATGGCAAAGTTTAGTTATTATATAGTTCAGGGGTGGCCAACCTGTGGCTCCGGAGCTACATGCGGCTCTTCAGAAGTTAATATGCTGCTCCTTGTACAGGCACCGACTCCAGGGCTGGAGCTACCGGCGGTAACTTTCCAGTGTGCTGGGGGGTGCTCACTTCTCAATCCCTGGCTCTGTCACAGGTCCTGCCCCCACTCCACCCCTTCCCACTCCCTCCCCTGAGCCTGCCATGCCCTCACTCCTCCCCTCTCCGCCCCCCAGCCTCCTGCATGCCACGAAACAGCTGATCAGGAGGTGTGGGGAGGGAGGGGGAGGTGCTGATCGGTGCAGCTGCCGGTGAGGGGAGGTGTGGGTGGGGATAGGGGGGCTGCTGATGTATTACTATGGCTCTTTGGCAATGTACATTGGTAAATTCTGGCTCCTTCTCAGGCTCAGGTTGGCCACCCCTGATGTAGTTGGTTAATTGGCAGAGTTATTACAAAGAGCTGATACCAGAACAGTTCCTTTTCCAGATTGAAGGACAGCTGTAATATGATAATTTTCTACCATTTATGTGATTTCTAGGTCGGTTTGATGAAGTTCTAATCCGACATCAAGTGAAGTACTTAGGCCTGATGGAGAACCTGAGAGTGCGCAGAGCTGGTTTTGCTTATCGCCGGAAATATGAAATCTTCCTGCAGAGGTGGGATTTACAATAATTGTCTCAAATCTGTTCTCCCTCACCATCTCTGCACTAACGTGTTCAGAACAGGAAGTTTCTATACAGCAAACAACATGTAATCTGGTTAACTAAAAGGTCTTGGTTACCAGAATGGATCTCTGTTTGAGGGAGAGGCACTGTGGCTTCCCCTTTGTACCCTGCAGAAGTGCTCCATTTTACTTCTCATTCTGAAGTCTCTCACTTGTCTATTTCCAGATACAAATCACTGTGTTCAGAAACGTGGCCCACGTGGGAAGGGCGGCCCCATGATGGAGTGGCTGTGCTTGTGAAACATCTAGGCTACAAACAGGAAGAGTATAAGATGGGCCGGTCAGTTATTTCTTTCTTCCCTGATTTGGGGTTGTGAGTCATAGGGAGTCTGTGTTTAAATATGGCCCCTGTGTCTAGAGGGTGAGGGGGAGAGCAGAAGCCGCAAGGGGATGGTGAGGGCAGGAAGTAGGTCCCTCTGGCCTCTTATACATAATCATACATTTCCATTTCCAGAACAAAGATTTTTATTCGTTTTCCCAAGACTTTGTTTGCAACAGAAGATGCTTTGGAGATACGGAAGCAGAGTCTGGGTAAGTCAGACACATTTAACCAGCTGGTTTAGCAGACAACTATCAGCGTGCCTTATTTTTTGAATTGACCTATTCTCTATCAGAATCCCAACCTTGGCCACTATTTCTAATTGATAGCTCTTTTTTCTTTTCCAATTTCAGCCACAAAAATCCAGGCCACATGGAGAGGCTTCTATTGGCGACAGAAATTCCTGCACATGAAACATTCAGGTATGTGAGGGCATGCGAAGGTGAATAAGCTTATGGCTAATTACCTATATAGTTGGAAGCTCCTATTCTGTTCCTAGCAAGGGGGTGGATGGAAAGGGGAACAGAAGTTGATCTCAGTTTGAGATGCAAGAATAAAAAGCCAGAAAGCATAGAGTAGATGGGAATGTTTTGGATTATATGGAATTAAGGAGTTCTGTCCAATGTGCAATACCTTTTTGTTTTTATTGTCTTCAGCAATAACTATCCAGTCATGGTGGCGTGGAACCCAGGGGCGCCGAAAAGCCTCCAAGAAAAAGTGGGCAGTGGAGACAATTAGACGGTGTGTTTACAATCTGCAACAATTTTTTTTTTTTTAAATGTGTAGAGAGATTCTCAAAACCTAGTTTCTAACAATGAACAGATGGGGATAAACTGTCTTTTCAGTGTAGTTTCTGTGACTTTTTAAAAAAAAAAATACATCTGTTGAACAAAGCCCAAGAAATGTTGGAATTTTCCTGTTTTCAATAACACAAGGATTCTGGTTCATGAGTGGAATAGAGAAGTTGGTGAATCTGTAGTTATTTTCATACACTTGAGACTATGATGTGAAACGTGAGTCTGGTGGCTGAAAACAAGCAGTTTTTCCTATAGGATGGCACTGATTACAGATCTCGGATACAAACTTCTAAAACTGGGCTCCATTGCAACAGGGGGACTGAAACATTACCCCTGCACTTTTTATATATGTGTTGAATCCTCTATCCCTATGGACAGTTTCCCTGTACTATCCGCTCTTAACCATATCTGCCCCGGGAGTTGCTGATAAAGCACATGTTCTCAGTTCTTTGCAGATCCCTGCTCAGTTCCCCTTGCTTTGCAAAGTGTTCCTTCTGTTTGTGTGATAGTTTCCGATTAATTTGTTTTTCCCCCCACAGATGCTAAGTCTCTTGTTTATAGTCAGTTGCCTTCAGTAATGGGGGCATAGGAAGTCTTGGTGTTAAACAGGTTCATTGTAGAACCATAGATTATTAGAATGGAAGACACTTAGATTCTTTAGTCTAATCATCTGTATCAAACCCATCCATGATGGTTACTGATCTTCCTTCTTCTGCCCATTCAGGTTTATTAAAGGTTTTATTTACCGGAACTACCCTCGCTGCTCAGAGAATGAATACTTCCTAGATTACATTCGCTACTCCTTCTTGATGAACCTCAAACGCAATTTACCAAAGAATGTTTTGGACAAATCGTGGCCAACTCCCCCTCCATCACTCTACGAGGTAGGCAGAAGAAAAAGAGAAGGAGTTGACTGCTCTGCGTAGACGGAGTCCTGCACTGTAGTTTCAGTTATTGAAGGCCCTAGGTCACACAGATGTCATTGAGAGAGCGGTGAGACCTGTAGAACCTTCATTAGTAGTGGTGATGTGTGAGAAAGAAAGAACTATGTTTGCCTCTCACTCTACACTGAATTAGTAGAACTGGCAGCAAAAATAACCAAAACATAAGTTAACATGTGTACTGAGCATCTTTGTGAAATTACAAAAATGACTGTTGATTATTTAATTTATTTTACATATAATTATTACTGAGATCAGTAAGCGACACTAAAAATGGAATCCAATTCTGACGTTGTTAAAAAGCAACTTTTCAAAGTAGAACTGCACTTTAGCACATTGGGTAAGATTTTCAGAAATGCCTAAGTGACTTAGTATTTTAAGTGTTGGAAAGATATCATTTAGCTCAGAATAAAATTTTCAAAAGCACCTCAGGGACTTCTGTGGGCACTTTTGAAAATTGAACCCATTTTGTTCTGAGTTAAATGGCTTCTGCCTGAATGGTTAAACTGGGGTGAAAAGCAATGGAATGGTATTTGATTACCCATAAAGAAAATAATTAAACTTTGTTTTCCTGTCCAGTACGTTATTTTATGCTTTGAAGAGTGGCCTCTAACCCAGAAAGGTGACAGTGCCCTGGATACATGCTTTCTCCACCTGAAAGATCACTGATCTGCAAAATAATCCCATAAAATATTATCTAAAGGCCCCATTTTTATGACATTTTCCAAAAAAATTGTTCCTGGGAGTGGATCTTCTTGGGTCCTTAAGATTCTTGTGTGTGCCTTGTTTGGCTCATAGGTACCTCCAAAATAGGCTGGAGGATGTGAAGAGGAAAATTCCCAACCCCGAGCCCAAACAGTCTGGTTGGAGAACAATGCAGGACAAACTGTCTCAGCACAGGACAATAGATTACTTGTTGCTATTTAATTTTAAAAATATTTCTGCAATAACATACAGTGTTGAAGATGAGTTGTTCAGCTTCAGGCTTGCATTTTCTGCATTCATATCTCTTCTCTGTTCTCTCCTTATATTCTGTTTGAATTGTTTTGCCTTTGTTCAACTTAAAGCCATCTTCACATACCATCTTGTTTCTTCAGGTATCTCAGCTCTTGAGACAGCTGTGTATGCAAAACATGGTGTGGAGCTACTGCAAGAGAATCAGCCCAGAGTGGAAACAGCAGGTGCAGGACATTTACGTTACTTACCAGATCTCTCAACTATTGCTAGGAACAAGAGGTGGGATCCACACAGGCACTTAGATGCCCAGAAAATCACAGGAACAGCATTGCGATCCACAAAGCCAAGTTAGAAACCTAGGCTCCCTATATAGTGAATAGGGAAAGATGGGTGCCTTAGAATGTGATCTACCACACTAAGTGGGGAGCCATGTAAACTAGCCAATGAGCAGTACAAACTGGGGGGTGGCGAGGAGTCCTAAGCCCCACCCCACTCACAGAGTTAGATACCTATTTCTGCTTAGTGATCAGTGATCCATGAACTGCCTGGAGTCAGGTGGCCTAAAGTCTCTTGTGGGAATGAGTTAGGCATCTGCTTTGCTTCACACAAAAGGGGGAAGTGGGGAGGAGTGGTGGTGCCGACTGTATAACTTTTAGCCCAGTGGCTAGCGGATTTGCTTGTGATATGGGAGACCCAGGCTCAAGTCCCTCCTTCCTGCCAGAGGGAAAGAAGGGATTTGAACAAGGGTCTCCAGGCTCTCAGGAGGGTGCTCTAACCACTGAACTATGGGATATTTTGAGGTGAAGCTTCTTCAACCTCTTCTCTTGAAGCTGTTTCACTGTTGTTAAGTGATGAACAAGTGATTGGAGCAGCAGAACTAGATCCTGGGTCGTTCCCCCCCCGCCTGTTGGTGCATGCCCTAGCCACTGGACTACAGTCACTGGGACAAAGAAAGAGAGAATAGCTCTATTTACTAACCACTGGGCTAGATGTTATAAGGTGGGTGCTGCTGCAGCCTCCTCTGCCACCACCTCCTTCCCTGGCAGCCGGATTTTTGAATGGGACCTGATCTGGTAAGCAGTCTGTGAGCACACCTACAAGATTGGGCCTCACAAGTGACTTAGGGAGCCAAACGCTTATCTTTCCCCAGTTTATGAATCACTCTGAGGCTTAGGTGTCTGGGTTCTTAGAGGGAGGCAGCAGTGAGCATCCCAGAGGCAGAAACATAGGTACCTAGGGAACATTTACTCTGAAAAATTAGGTGCTGAGTGAGTTTAGGCACCTACACGCTTTGGTGGTAGTTTTGTGGATTGCATTGGAGCTAAAACTGGGATATAGGTGCCTAAACCTTGTATTTTGGAGCCCAATCTGGGTTTTAGATGCCTAAACACATTTGCAGATCTGGGCCTAGGAGTTTTTCCTCAATTAACATTTTATTATAGGTGAAGCAGGGGGTTGGGGATTGATAGAGGGGAAAGGAGATGAAGCATTGGAGAGTGGTTGGATGGGGGAGGCAGATAAGACCAGATGGAGGATACTAAACTGGGAGGAGTGGTAGATACGCTGGAGGGGAGGGATAGGATACAGAAGGACCTAGACAAATTGGAGGATTGGGCCAAAAGAAATCTGATGAGGTTCAATAAGGATAAGTGCAGGGTCCTGCACTTAGGACGGAAGAACCCAATACACAGCTACAGACTAGGGACCGAATGGCTAGGCAGCAGTTCTGCGGAAAAGGACCTAGGGGTGACAGTGGACGAGAAGCTGGATATGAGTCAGCAGTGTGCCCTTGTTGCCAAGAAGGCCAATGGCATTTTGGGATGTATAAGTAGGGGCATAGCGAGCAGATCGAGGGACGTGATCGTTCCCCTCTATTCGACATTGGTGAGGCCTCATCTGGAGTACTGTGTCCAGTTTTGGGCCCCACACTTCAAGAAGGATGTGGATAAATTGGAGAGAGTCCAGCGAAGGGCAACAAAAATGATTAGGGGTCTGGAACACATGAGTTATGAGGAGAGGCTGAGGGAGCTGGGATTGTTTAGCCTGCAGAAGAGAAGAATGAGGGGGGATTTGATAGCTGCTTTCAACTACCTGAGAGGTGGTTCCAAAGAGGATGGATCTAGCCTGTTCTCAATGGTAGCAGATGACAGAACGAGGAGTAATGGTCTCAAGTTGCAGTGGGGGAGGTTTAGATTGGATATTAGGAAAAACTTCTTCACTAAGAGGGTGGTGAGACACTGGAATGCGTTGCCTAGGGAGGTGGTGGAATCTCCTTCCTTAGAGGTTTTTAAGGTCAGGCTTGACAAAGCCCTGGCTGGGATGATTTAACTGGGAATTGGTCCTGCTTCGAGCAGGGGGTTGGACTAGATGACCTTCTGGGGTCCCTTCCAACCCTGATATTCTATGATTCTAAGGCAGGAGTCCCAAGCGGGTAGCTAGATGCAGCAGGGAAAGAGGGCATCTTGGGACGAAGAAGGGTCTACAACTACTGGAGAACACTCCCTTTCAGAACCTGCATTTGAGCCCAATAGTCTTGAGTCTCTCTACAATCCTCAGCTGTCATCAGATGCCCAGTTGACAGTCAGTTTCACAACTGTCTCATCATCTTTTAGTGGCTAGTCCACCTAGAGGATAACAGCCTACTACTGCTACTAGTTAGTCCATCAGCTCAAGTGGTAGAGTTTTGTGCTATGGATCTAAAGGTCCCAAACCCTGCTGCTGATCAAGCTGGAGGTTAATATGGTTCCATGTAATTTCTGGTGGGGTTTTCAGTTTGCTTTTAAAAACAATTGGGAAATCAATTCTCAAAAACTACATTAAAAGAACATTAAGGTTGCAAAGTGAAGCATGCAAAATTTAGGAAATGTCAGAATTAAGGTTGCCCTTGTGTATGTATATTTTGAGATAGTCTTTCGTGAGGAAGTATAGGCTTTCATGGAAGAAGTTTGTTTTGAGGAGCAGTTTGAGGTATGGTAAATCAGGTCAATTAGGAACAGCCATATATAAACCAAAGAAAGCATAGAAAATATTAAATATGTGCAATACAACTGAATTACCACTGCTGTTAGTACCTTACCATTTGCATTTCCTGACTTTGGACTTGTCTACATAAACATTTAGTTTCATTTCAAGTGCTGGTCCCTGTGTGTATTCCACTGTGGGATATGCATGTGCTAAACAAATCTGATAGGATTCTTGCCAGCAGTATCCATTGCTCCACACCTTCACCATTGCTTTCTTCATGCTCTGCGTCAAGGGAATAGGGGGTGATGCCACCCAGCTGCCTCTCCAGTTCCTTCTTACCACCACATGATTTGAGTAAGAACCCTTGTGTCCAGAGCTGATCCTTGGTTTTCAATCTGTAAATACAGTGTTAAAAATGTGTTTTAGTGTTAGTTTACTTAATGTACATAGTTAATACCTTCCCCACCCCAGGGAGCCTCCCCTGCCTCCTCAGTATGGGATTTGGATTATGCCCAGGTTACAAGGCTTTAAAATCTGTCTCTTCTGCCCTCACTCCTCTTCAGTCAATCATAGAATCATAGAATATCAGGGTTGGAAGGGACCTCAGGAAGTCATCAAGTCCAACCCCCTGCTCAAAGCAGGACCAATCCCCAACTAAATCATCCCAGCCAGGGCTTTGTCAAGCCTGGCCTTACAAACATCTGAGGAAGGAGATTCCATCACCTCCCTAGGTAACCCACTCCAGTGCTTCACCACCCTCCTAGTGAAAAAGTTTTACCTGATATCCAACCTAAACCTCCCCCACTGCAACTTGAGACCATTAATCATAGAATATCAGGGTTGGAAGGGACCTCAGGAGGTCATCTAGTCCAAACCCCTGCTCAAAGCAGGACCAATCCCCAATTTCTCGTTCTGTCATCTGCTACCACTGACAACAGTCTAGATCCATCCTCTTTGGAACCCCCTTTCAGGTAATTGAAAGCAGCTATCAAATCCCCCCTCATTCTTCTCTTCTGCAAATAAATAATCCCAGTTCCCTCAGCCTCTCCTCATAAGCCATGTGCTCCAGCCCCCTAATAATTTTTTGTTGCCCTTCGCTGGACCCTTCCCAGTTTTTCCACATCCTCCTTGTAATGTGGGGCCCAAAACTGGACACAGTACTCCAGATGAGGCCTCACCAATGCCGAATAGAGGGGAATGATCATGTCCCTCGATCTGCTGGCAGTGCTCCTACTTATACAGCCAAAAATGCCATTAGCCTTCTTGGCAACAAGCACGGTTTTGGAGCTCTGCTCCACTCCAGCTCCACTGGCCCAGAGCTGCTGCAGCTCCAGGCTCCGCTCCAAAGCCCTGGCAACAAGGGCACACTGTTGACTCATATCCAGCTTCTCGTCTATTGTAACCCCTAGGTCCTTTTCTGCAGAACTGCTACCTAGCCGCTTGGTCCCTAGTCTGTAGCAGTGCATGTGATTCTTCCATCCTAAGTGCACGACTCTGCACGTGTCCTTGTTGAACCTCCTCAGATTCCTTTTGGCCCAATTCTCTAATTTGTCTAGGTCCCTCTGTATCCTATCTCTACCCTCCAGCGTATCTACCACTCCTCCCAGTTTAGTGTCATCTGCAAACTTGCTGAGGGTGCAGTCCACGCCATACTCCATATAGTTAATGAAGATACTGAACAAAACCGGCCCCAGGACCAACCCTTGGGGCACTCCACTTGATACCGGCTGCCAACTAGACATGGAGCCATTGATCACTATCTGTTGAGTCCGATGATCTAGTCAACTTTCTATCCACATTACAGTCCATTCATCCAGTCTATACTTCTTTAACTTGCTGGCAAGAATACTGTGGGAGACCGTATCAAAAGCTTTGCTAAAGTCAAGGAGTAACATGTCCATGCTTTCCCCTCATCCACAGAGCCAGTTATCTCATCATATGACAAGTACCAACAGTGTCTTCACTGCCTAGGAGAATGCCACATCTCTACAAAGTGTAGTATTTGCCGCTCCTTATCCAACCAAACTCAGCAAGTGTGGGAACTCTGGTTTAAGAAAGGTTTCAGAGTAGCAGCCGTGTTAGTCTGTATTCGCAAAAAGAAAAGGAGTACTTGTGGCACCTTAGAGAGTAACAAATTTATTCAAGCATAAGCTTTTGTGAGCTACAGCTCACTTCATTGGTTTAAGAAACATATTATGGAGTGTGCAATGAGACACCCTGCCAGACATCCAGGAGCACGCATCCTAGCACCATGTTGTCT